ATGAAGGTGTCATCTACGTATCTGAGCCAGAGTTTGGGTTTGTGGTCGTATTTTTCTAGAGCTTGTGTTTCAAAGTGTTCCATGTAGAGGTTTGCGATGACAGGTGAGAGGGGTGATCCCATGGGTGCTCCTTCTATTTGTTTGTATTTTTGTCCATTGTAGGTGAAGTATGTATTGGATAGGCAGTGGTTGGTTAGATCTAGGATGTGCTTGGGGGGGTTGTATTTGTTTTGGATGGCTGTCAAGGCTTCTTTTATTGGCACTTGGGTGAAGAGGGATATGACATCGAAGCTTACTAGTAGGTCACTAGGTTGTAAGTTTTGTTTCTTTATAATCTCGATGAATTGGAATGAGTTTCTTACATGTGAGTTGATGGATTCTGCATAAGGTTGTAGTTGTTTGGCGAGAAATTTGGCTAGGTTTTGTAGAGGTGAGCCTATGGAGCTGACTATTGGTCTGAGTGGGGTTCCTTCTTTGTGTATTTTGGGGAGACCATAAAGCTTGGGGCATCTGGATGATTTTTCTCTGGGTATGATTCGTTGCTGGATTTCTTCACTGATGGGGGAGGCTTTTATTTTGGATTTGGTAGTTTTTTCTAGGTAGGTGGTGGGGTCTGTCTTTAGGGTTTGTATGCGGGGTCTTGGAGTAGGTTGGTTAACTTGGTTTGGTAGTCAGATGTGTTCATAACCACTGTCGCATTGCCCTTGTCTGCTGGTAGAATTATTATGCTGGTGTCTTCTTTCAGGTTAAGTAGTGCAGTTTGTTCTTCTTTGGATAAGTTGCTTTTGGGTGGTTTGCTAGTGCAGAGGATGTTGGTGATTTCAAGTTCATCCTCTTCCCTAGTCCAACACCTCAAAGCCACAGGTCATGAAATTGATTTTAAAAATACCAGAACTATCGCCAAAACCGAACACTTCAACAGCAGAATAATCAGAGAAGCCATAGAGATAGAAAAACGCCCACACAGCATGAACAAACGAGATGACACCTCCCGCCTTCCAGCCATTTGGAAACCCGCCCTCATGAACAGATGAGTACCTAACATGAAGAAGGACACCAGACCCACACCCATGAGAGCCACACAAGATGCCACCACCACACTTCCATGTAGAAAACAGACTCCCACCCATTCAGAAAATGAGACACGACCATGGACCAGAAGCTGCACTGCAGCTGCATCACTACCCACTTCAAACCCCTCTGAGCCATACATGAAGCAAACCGACACCCACTATGAAGATGCAGCAGGACCACGTACTAGAAGCCAAACAGCAAGATCACAACTCACCAGCTCAAATCCCCCAGCAACTAAGACTAACCTGAGCACAACCAAGCCCCCACCTGAACAGAACACGCCTCCAACCAATCAGAACACGGCTAACCCCCCAACCAATCAGAACACAGCCCAACCCCCCACCAACACAAACACACCCCCACCCAATCAGAACACAGCCAAGCCCCCACCCAATCAAGTCCCACCCCCACTGGCAGTTAAAAGGAGGAAGCAGCTGCAATCTCACATTACTCTGAGAAGCACAGAGCCGGAGACAGAAGCCTGAAGATGATGAATGAGACTTCATCGAAACGTTGCCTAGATACTTCGAATCTTACGCGGGAGAAAACCCGAACAACCAAAGATCCATATATATATATATATATATATATATATATATATACATGGTATACATATATGTAGTCCTCAACTTATGATCCCAATTGAGAATTTATGTGAGAAAGTTCTTAAGTAAGTTTTGCCCCATTTTACGACCTTTCTTGCCACAGTTATTAAGTGAATCATTGCAGTTGTTAAATTAGTAACACAGTTGTTGAGTGAATGTGGCTTCCCCATTGCTTGTCAGAAGGTCGCAAAAGGGGATCACATGACCCCCAGGACACTGCAACTGTCATAAAGTTGAGTCAGTTGTCAAGCATCCAAATGTAAATCACATGACCAGGGGGAAGTGTCACTGTCGTAAGTGTGAAAAATGGTCATGACTCATAAGTCACTTGTTTCAGTGCTGTTGTAACTTTGAATGGTCACTAAATGAACTGTTGTAAGCCAAGGACTACTGCAATTAAAGTTGTTGCAGCTTTCATATGGTTGTATAGTTTTATGGGGAGGGCAGTGAGAATCTTTGGATGCAGTGAAAAAATACTTGTGGGATTCACTTGGCTACTGAGGGCATTCTTGGCAATGTTGTTCATCTCAAGAACAGGTGTTCCCTCTTAAGAAAAAAGGATAGGTAGTCCTTGACCATAATTCAGCCCGAAATTTATGTTGCTAAGCAAGACAGTTGATAAGTGAGTTTTGCCCCATTTTGCCCCTTTCTAACCACAGATGTTAAGAGAATCATTGCAGTTTTTAAATTAGTAACACAGTTGTTAAGTGAATCTGGCTTCCCCATTGACTTTGCTTGTCCAAAGCTCACAAAAGGTGATAAGGACGCTGCAGCCGTCATAAGTACGAACCAGTTGCCAAACACCTGAATTTTGATCACGTGACCATGAGGATGCTGCAATGGTCGTAAAGCATGAAAAATGGTCATAAGTCACATTGTAACTTTGAATGGTCGCTAAATGAATGGTTGTAAGTCGAGGACTACCTGTAATTCATTCTCTTGAAGTCCAAAAAAAGTGGTTCATTCTTTTTGCAGAAGGAGCTGGTTACTATACACATTTTTAGATGTATTTTTCTCTGTGTTGCCTCTCTCAGGTTGGCGCCGAGGACACCGTGACCCCCATTATTTTAAGGCTGAATTATAACCTCACAGGAAAGTCCATCACTAAAGTCCCAGACCTCCTGCCCATCCTGATGAAATGGGCAAAGCCAAGCTACACAGCTGAGGTGACTGTCCCTAAGGTTTATCATGGTACCCAGGGGTGGGTTTCAAAAATTTTTTCCTGCCGGTTTGGAGAGTGTGCTTCACGTGAGTGTCCACCGGGCTCAAAGACCACCCTCTGTATAAATGCTGGTGAGCTGTGCAGATGTGTCTAGCGCACATGCTCACCAAATGCACACTTCACACGTGTGGTGCGCAGGGCTCAGAGACTGCCCTCTGGTGAGCTGGGCTGTTTTTTTTTACCTCAGCTGAGGCGCGGCAATCTGCTTTGCCGCATGAATCAGCTGAGCTAATAAACAACAGAATAGGAGAGGTAAGAGCGGGGGCCGGTGGGCGGGGCCAGCCAGAGGTGGTATTAACCAGTCAGAACCGGCTGAATGCCACCTCTGATGGTATCCCAAAAGCCAACAACAGTTGGAGCCATTGTGTTGTAGTGGTGAGGAGTTAGACTCGGAGTGAGGAGGAAACCCAGATTGTAGTCCTCCTCAGCCATGGAAGCTAACTAAGTGTCTTTCGGCCAGTCCCTTTCTCTCACTCTGAAAGCTGGAATAAGGTTGTGAGGCTGGCCGAGGAGCTAGGAAATCCAGGTTTTCTTTTACCCTGAATCATAGAAATGTCCTAAAGGTGCTTTTTCAGGAGGCAACTGGACTTTCTTGGGTTGTTGTTTTTTTGTCGTTGTTGAAGACCTTTCACTTCTCATCCAAGAAGCTTTTTTAACTCTAATGGTGAATAGAAGGATTCTTATTCCCCACTATCCTGTCACAGATGAAGAAGCTTCTTGGATAAGAAGACAAAAGTCTTCAAAACAAAAAAACAGAAAGTCCACTTGCCTCCTGAAAAAGCACCTTTGGGACCACCATGACTGAATCTCTACAGACTTCTCAACCATAGAAACTTCTTGGAGCACTTTGGGTTAATCTCTCTTAATCCAAGAACCATGTTATATAGCAGTGAGAAGGTGTTGGAGTAGGAATGGGGAGATCCAAGTTCTTGTTCTTCCCCCATCCTGGCCACAGAAGCCCTTCGGGGTCTTTGGGCCAGTCTCTCTCTCTCTCTCTCTCTCTCTCTCTCTCTCTCTCTCTCTCTCTCTCCCTCCCTCCCAAAACCAGGGTGTGTAGTGGTGAAGGTCGCCCCCAAGGTGGTTTTTCAAAAGGCTACTGGATTTTGTTTTTGCTTGAAGATGTTTCGCTTCTCATACAAGAAGCTTCTTCAGTCCTGAGTGAATGGTGGAGAATGGAAGGATGTGGAATGAAAGAAGGGAAGCTTCTTGGATGAGAAGTGAAACGTCTTCAAGAAAAGTCAGAGAAAATCCGGTTGCTTTTTGAAAAAGCACCTTTGGGACAACCATGACCTGGATGACTGAGAATCTCCATAGACATTCAGTGATGAAGAGGTTGGACTTAGAAGCAGAGAGATCCAAGATCCGGTCCCCACCTCAGCTGTGGAAGCTCACCAGGTGACTTTGGGTCAGTCCCTCTCTCTGAGCCCAAACTACCTCATAGGGTTGCTGTTGTGAGGACAGATGGCAGAAGGAAGCATTAGGTATGCCACCTGACACTCGTGTATAAGGAAAAGGTAGGTCATTAATCAAATAATCGAGTAAAATAGTTAGCCACCTGTAGGATCACGTAAGTCCCCTCCTCTATACACAACTGAGTGGTGGAGAGGAACAAAGCAAGTTAGACATGTTAGGTAGTAACAGAAGATCACACATCAGTAGCAAGTGGGGCTACAACAGAGCAGTAGGGGCAGCAGTTGTCACTTTCAGAAATTTCTATTTAGCAAGAAGGAAGGGGAAGTTTGTCAGATGCATATGAGCTCTGGGTTCCCCTTATTAAATGCCATTAACTCTCATGGTGATTTTTGACTTGTCTTTCCGTTACTGTACAGTGACTGCACTGTAAATGATTATCATGGATAAGAAAACCAATGCCATAAAGGAAGAGAAGATTGGTGCAAGGTTCAAGGAATAGTTAAACCATCAAAACTGAGGTCTACTTTGTCTTTAAGTTCTCTCTCTCTCTCTCTCTCTCTCCCTCTTCCCCCCCAACTCTCTGTGTGTCTTTCTTTCAGCTCCCCTTTGAGAAGAACTGTGGGAATGATGGACTATGTGAAGATATTTTGCAAACCTCATTTACTTTCTCAGGGTAAGGGAAATATTTCATTATGCACCTTCTGCCATATTTCTGTTATGTATGGCAGCCTTTCTCAACTTTGGTAATATAAGAGGTATGGACTTCAACTCTCGGAATTCCCCAGCTGTCTGGCTGGGGAATTCTGGGAGTTGAAGTCCACACTTCTTAAATTACCAAGATTGAGAAACACTGATCTATGCATACCTTAGCGGACCAAATTCCGAATGCTCTACCAAATTACCCTTTGTAACAACTTTAGGAAGGTTTCTATAACAAAAACATTCTTTAGTCCCCTGCCTTACCACTCGGTTTAGATTTTAAAATTTAAACTTCTATTTGTTCCTTCGTGGTTATATTAATAGTACTGCTTTGCACACCAATCTGTATATAGCCCCAATTTTTTGTTGTTAAGCAAGTCAGTTGTTAGTAAATTTCACCCCATTTTATGACCTTTCTTGCAACCCTTGTTAAGTGAATCACTGCAGCTGTTAAATTAGTAAGATGGCTGTTAAATGAATCTGGTTTCCCCAATGACTTTGCTTGGCAGAAGTTAGCAAAAGGGAGCCACGTGACCCTGGGACATTTCAACTGTCATAAATATGAGTCAGTCAAGCATCTGAATTTCTATCACCTCACCATGGGGGTGTTGCAATGGTCATACATGTAAAAAACAGTTCAATTTAATTTCAGGGCTGTTGTAATTGGAAAAACAATTATAATTGTAGTTCTCAACTTACAACTACCTCTATAATTGCAAGTACTGAAAGTATTGATTTTCTTTTACTGATTCATCAAACATCCTGGCCTTATGTGAGACCTTCATAATCTGAGACTTCTAATTAGGACACAGAGATTCTTTCCTTCACTCCCACTCAGCCTGCAAACTTTAGATGTGGGTTTGACTCCCGAGTTCACTGTAACAGCCTCCCTTCAGAACCAAGGGGAGGACTCCTATGGCAGCACTCTACGCTTCTTCTACCCTGCAGGGCTGTCCTACCGCAAAGTCACCTTGCTGCAACAGGTAAGGGAATAAAGGATGCTAGCAGAGGTGTAGAATAGAGGCAGGTCTAGTTGGATTGCTATATATCTTGGAATGTGGGAAAAGACCCAGGGAGACTAGGCAAGACATGTTACCTAGGAAATAGATAATAGAATAGAACAGAATGCCAGGACAATTACACTGTTGTATTCAATATATTTATATGTAAACAATAATATATAATAGAACTGAATAGAATAGAATAACAGAGATTGGAGGTCTTCTAGTCCAACCCCCTGTTCAGGCAGGAAACCTATACTGTTTCAGACAAATTTTTGTCCAATCTCATCTTAAAAACTTCCAGTCTTGAAGCAGTCACAGCTTCCAGAGGCAGTTTTTTCCACTGGTTAATTGTTCTGCCAGGAAATTTATTCTTAGTTCTAGGTTGCTTCTCTCCTTGATTAGTTTTCACTTGATTAGTGCTTTGTTTGGAGAATAGGTCGACTCCCTCTTCTTTGTGGCAGCCTCTCAACTATTTATTTATTTTATTTATTATTAAATTTATATTGCCGCCTATTCGCTCATAGTGGCTCAAGGCGGCTTACAGAATATATTGAAACATGCTATCATGTCACCCCAGTCCTTCTTTTCATCAAACTAGACATACCCAATTCCAGGAACTATTCTTTATATGTTTTAGCCTCCAGCCCCCTAATCATCTTTGTTGCTCTTTGTTGTTCAGATAAGAGACAGCATAGCCCAGAGCAGCATATTGGGTGGACCAAGAGGTTCGGAAGGGACTCTCCTTAATTAAGCTGTAAAGGTGACATTGGGAGAACTGCACCTTCAGACCTGATAGATTCTGTTAATGTAGCTTTATACGAAAGTAGAATTTGTTTACCTGGTTGTGTTTGCTGTCTGGGCTACCTAGTAATGCTGAAATTATGTTCCACCTCTCAAAACTTGGTGTGTAACTCCTGCCTTAGGCCAGCAGGAAGGTGACGCGAGTCCAATGCCATTCATCCCCTACCCTGGAAGAAGCGGCCAGCTGGAACGTCACCTGTAACATCAACCACCCTATTTTCTGGAGTGGAGCAGAGGTGGGAAACTGCTGCCTTTTTTTCTATTTGTGTTGACCGCCACAACAGTTGAGGAGGACTGCAGCCGTACCCCACTTACCCTCTCTATCTTTGCATGTTTCAGGCTATTTTTGTTGCTACTTTTGATGTCTCCCCAGACGCTGACCTAGGGGACACCCTGCAGATTGTGGTCAAAGCTGACAGGTATCATCCATGCTCCTGGGTTTTATGGGTTAATAAAAGCCAACATTATTCAACTGCTTTTGAGGGTGGAGGACGGTGATGGCCAACAATAAGACCATGATAGTGTGTGTGTGTTTGTGTGTGTGTTACTGAAATTACTGTCAATAAAGGAGAATATTTGTAGAGTTGAAATGAGAGGTCCTTGCTGCTCTCTGAGCTTGGTTGTTTTCTTGCAGGTGTTTCATTATCCAATCTAGATAACATCATTAGTGCTAGACTTGACTAGCACTGATGATGTTACCTAGTTTGGTAATGAAACATTTGTAAGAAAACAACCAAGCTCAGAGAGCAGCAAGGATCCCCCTGATATTATTTCAAGATATAAATTATTTGGATGCCAACCCTGCAGTATGAGATACTCTACTGCACAGCTTTTAAGCTGTCTTATTGGGGTGCCCTGAGATTTCTCTGAAGACTTATTAGGAATTTCTCATAAGGGAAATAAAAAAAGAAGACCTTGAGGTCAATGAAGTTATTGCAGTTGAGTATGCACTGCAGTATGTAGAAAAATAATGAAACCTAAATAGGTTGCCTAGTGTTATATGTAAGCAATAGCAATAACAACAGCACTTACTTGTGTATTGCTTCAAGGTACTTTATAGTCCTTTCTGAGCTGTTTACAAATGTTAGCATATTGCCTCCAACAATTTGGGTCTTCGTTTTACCAACCTGGAAGGGACAGAAGTCTGAGTCAACCTTGAGCCAATTAGAATTGAATTGCTGGAAGTCGGCAGAATTAAGCCTGCAATACTGCATTCTAACCATGTGCCACCATGGCTCATGAGGAGATGTTTAATGTCTTCAGTGGTGATCTAGTACTAAAAGAAGGTAAATTTAGGTAGATTGTGATCCTCAAATGTTTGAAAATGCATGAATGTAAATCATATTTTTGTAAAACATTGCTGGCCTCCCTCGTAATTTTGAGGGCAGCAGAAAAATATTTAGACAAAATAGAGAGATTTACAAAGAGGCCAAAAACACTGTATACTTATCTATAGTAGGGTGTTCTTATCATACTGAGATTTAATTTTTAACTTACCTGTACTAATTCTGTAGACCTCTTGCTCAGTTTTTTTCCCAGGGATATGAAATATTACAAATTTTAAAGAATACTGCCCGGTGGGAAAAATGAAGGAAGATTCATATTAAGACAGATGAGACGGAGAGGAAAAAAGGGACCTAAAGATTCACATATATCAAACCATTTTTGCTACAGGGGACGGAGATGTAAAAATCATCAGGTGATAGAATAATGTAGATTGCTTTAAAATTTCTGGATTAAATAAAATCATTTTTTCTTCCACTTGTTCAGTGAAAATGAGAACAGCACCAAGGACATTAGTTATGAAGCCACTTTGCCTGTCAGATATGCAATATATCTCCTTATCAACATGTAAGTGACTACGGATATTTTAAAAAGGAAATAGAAGTGGACTCTGCAAACCTCATCCTTCTCTCAAGGATGCTGTCTTGGAATCTTCCATTTCTACCAAAATTCTTGTCTCTGTTAAATCTTCTCAGGGGTAAGGAATCCACCAAGTATGTGAACTTCACCGTTGGCCAAGAAGGCACACAAAAGATTGTTGAACATCGATATCAGGTGAAGCAAAAGGAATAAGAAACTATAGTCTGGGGGTTGGTGGGAAAAGGAGAAAGCTGGGGCTAGGGAATTCTGGGAATTGAAGTCATGGCCTACTTTATGACCTCTGCTGCTACCACTTTTTCCCTACTTTCTTGGAGAACAGCACCAAAAGGGTGGGAGGACTTCTTTCTGGTGGAAAATTGGTGAAAACACTTGATCAGAATTTGTTTTTTTTTTCAGGTGAAGAATCTTCATGAACGAAGCATCCCTTTCAAGGTGACATTTTGGATCCCAGTAAAACTGAGAGGGATCCCAGTTTGGAATGTCTCTCTAGTCATTCCTTCTGAGGTATGCTATCTATCTTGGATCATTTTGTTGTGGACATTCCACTGAGGAACCCCCTGGTTGGGAAAATATGTGCTCGAGATATTTAGCCTTCCTGGATCGGTTGCTGACCATGACATTTATTGAAGCACTTCATCTTGTGATGTGATTTGACCCACTTCACCTCAGGCTGGGCTACTCTGACTCATTAACCTGCTTTGGTTTGGTAAGAAAGGAAATCTATGTGGGTGTTTAGTGCATTTGTAGAAGACCCTGTTTTAGATCAGGTTGAATCAGTACAATTTCTCCACTCCCCAACAATGAGAACCGGGTTCCTGGCTTGTTTTAAATAAGTCCTTTAGTTGAACCTCTGCTAAAGATCTGAAGATGTACGAAGCCCAATTGAAGATTCTTCTGGAACTTAATTGGAACCAGGATTTGGAGAAGCAAAGGTCTTACAGAGGAGAAGCAAAATATGCCCCCATTTGTCTTCTGCTCCATCCACCACTTTCTGTTACTAAGGACTGGGTCTCTCTTTTTCTGCAGCCTGAAGTGGCCAAGTGTGTTTTTGAGAGAGAAACTCAAGGCGCCAAGGATCTCCTGGCAGATGAAGCAAGGCCCCAGTTGGTGAGCATGCTGGTCCTTTTCTTTAGAAAGAAAAGCTGAATTCTGCAGTTCCTTCAGAGAGAAGTTGTATATATTGATTTATGAGAATTGCCATATGCTACATAAATAAATATGAAAGAAAAAGAATCTAATTTATAAAGATAGTTTTGGATTTAATTTTGGACTAATAGTGCAGAATTGCAGTTTGCCAAGGGCCCTTTTGCCCTTGCATGATTCCCTCCCTTTGATCTTATCATGGCCTTGCCTTTTTATTCTCTCTCCATCCCGCAGGATTGTTCCACCGCTTCTTGCAAAATCATCCAGTGTAATGTTTTGCCACTGAAGATACACAAAAGGGCACTGGAGTTCAGGATCAAAGGAGATATCCATTTCAGTTGGACATCCCAGGTATAAGGGCTGGGTTTCTTGAACTGTGAGATATTCACAATTAGTCCTGCTCCACCCCACATCTAGAAAAGTTTGGTTTTTGTATTTATTTATTTGATAGCTGCTCAACCCAAGTGACTCTGGGCAACTTACATTTCTAAAACAATTAAAAAAACATTAAAGCAATAAAAGTATCTGTTAAGTTTGGGTAATGAGAGGCTGAACCAGAGCATGAGTGCAACAAATACTTTATTGTGATAATAAAGGACTGAACGTGCTAGCCAAGCCTGGAACTGGCTCGCAGCGATCAGCAACTGGTTGGACCCCGCAGCCTGCTTTTATAGCTGGCTGCTGGGGAGAACCAACCAATGAGCGAGGGGGCAGCCGCCCCCGCAACGCGAACGGACCTGAGTGGGAACTCCTTAGAGTTCCAGGGACATAACACCCCTTTCCCCCAGATGCGAACACGCATAGTCTTTGAGGTAGGCAGGAGGTTTATGCTGGCGCCCAGAACGGCGCAACTCGGGTGGGTTGTCTGTCAGTTCAGAGTCTGTAGGGGAAGGCAGGATCGGTAGAGAGTCACAAACGCGTTCCTCGGTTCGGGTTGGCTCGGGACTCGTAGGGCTGGTTACTGGGGACGTGCTTCCGTTGACTGGTTCGGACTGGTCAGCCATCTGGACGTCGCTGTCCGTGTTCGGATTCCCTGGATCGGCTGCTGGTATAAGCAGGTCACCGGAATTGGTGCTGATGTGGGGATGATGCTGTGGCTTTGCCCCGGTCTGTAATTCTGGGTCACTGCTGACGAGGGTGCTGTGACGCCTTCGCAGCTGGTCTAGGTGTCTTCTCCAGACTCGGCCATCCTCCAGTCTGACCCGATATGACCTGGGTCCGGTGATGGCCACGATCTCGCCCGGGATCCACAGTGGGTCTCCAGTGAAGTTCCTCGCGAATACGGGTTCCTGTAAGACAAAATGCCTAACCCCCGATGTGGAAGCGAGGGGAGAGTCAGGGCAGTAATGTGGGTGAAGCCTGTCCAATACAGTCCGCAGGCGTCTGCCCATCAGGAGCTCAGCTGGGGACTTATTAGTGACTGTGCACGGAGTTGAGTGCTGGCTCATCAGGAAACGGGAGAGTTTATGGTGCCAGTCATCCTTGCTGAACCTAGCTAGAGCTTCTTTAGTGGTCCTAACGGCTCTTTCAGCCAATCCGTTACTGGCAGGATGAAATGGGGCCGTGAAGATGTGGCGGATGCCCAGGTTGGCAGCGAAACGGCTGAACTCGGCTGATGCGAATTGGGGGCCATTGTCGGAAACAATGGAGTCTGGAAGCCCGTGTGTTACAAACAGGCGAGTTAATACCTTGGTAATCGCTAGTGTGGTGGTTGTGGATAGTTGTGCCACGTCAATCCACTTAGAGTAGGAGTCCACGACCACCAGGAACATTTTTCCGTGCAATGGGCCGGCTAGGTCGATGTGAATTCTGGACCACGGAGCGCTGGCGCTTTCCCACTTAGTGGGGGTGGCAATTGGAGGGGCTGGACGGGATTCCTGGCAGGGATGGCAGGAGCTTACCCATCTGATGATGTCTTCGTCGAGGCCCGGCCACCATACGTAGCTGCGTGCTAATGCCTTCATTCTGACGATGCCAGGGTGCCCCTCGTGCAACGCTTCCAGAACTCGGGTATGCAGTGAGGTCGGGATGACCACTCAAGTGCCCCACAGCAAACAGCCCTGCAAACTGGATAATTCCTGCAGGCGGGTCTTGAAAGGTGTAAATTTGTTTTCAACATCACCGCCCGGCCACCCCCTCCTCACCCAGTCCAGTACCTGGGCGATCGTTGTGTCAGTCTTGGATTTGGCCGCAATGTCAAGGGCAGTGATGGGGAGGTCCAATTGGGTGACCTCAAAGATAGCATGGACCGGAGCAGGGTCTTCAGCTGGAGCCGGCAGGGGGCAGCGGCTGAGGGCGTCTGTGTGGGACAATGTTTTACCTGGGCGGTGTATGAGTCTATACGAGTATGCCGCTAGGAAAAGGGTCCATCTCGTCATTCTAGGAGACAGGACTTGAGGGGTCTGTTTGTCCCCAGCTAGTAGACCCAGGAGAGGCTTATGATCCGTGACCAGCTCGAAAAAGTGGCCAAAGAGAAATTCGTGAAATTTCTTCACTGCTGCGACAGCTGCTAGAGCTTCCTTATCGATCTGGCTATAATTGCGCTCTGTCGCAGAGAGCGTCCTGGAAAAAAAAGCGATGGGAGCCTCGGAGCCATTGGGGAGCCTGTGGCTTAACACTGCCCCAATTCCAAAAGGGGATGCGTCTGCTGCTAGCACTAATGGAAGGTTGGGGTCGAACTGAATAAGGACCGCCTCTGACGTGATTAGTGATTTGACGGCGCGAAAAGCGGAGTCTTCTTTGTGACCCCAGTGCCAAGGCGATTTTTTATCCAACAGTCTGTGCAGGGGTTCTGCCACTGATGCTTTATGGGGCAGGAAGGATGCATAAAAATTCAATAGCCCCAAGAAGGCCTGCAGTTCAGTTTTGGAGGTTGGAGTGGGTGCCTCGTGAATTGCCTTAACCTTGGACTCCAGGGGGTGAATGCCTGAGGCGTCAATTTTATAACCCAGAAAGTCCACCTGTCTAGTGGCAATGGCACATTTTTCTTTTTTCAATTTGAGGCCATGCTGTCTGAACCTCTCTAACACCGCTCGAACTCTCTGGAAGAGTTGGGGTCTGTCCCTGGCCGAGACTAAGATGTCGTCGAAGTAGGGTACTACACCAGGGAGGCCCTGCAAAATCCGCTCCATGAGGGATTGAAAAATGCCTGGGGAAACACTTACGCCAAATTGGAGACGCTTGCACCGGAAAGCACCCCTGTGGGTGACAATGGTCTGGAGTTCCACTGTTTGGTTGTCAACAGGGAACTGTTGATATGCTTGAGACATGTCCAATTTGGCAAAAATGCTGCCAGGTTCAAAAGTGTGTAATAAATGCTGAATGACGGGCACTGGGTAAGTGCTAACTTGTAAAAACTTATTAATTGTGGTCTTGTAGTCCGAGCAAATTCTCAGGCTACCGTCTTTTTTGAGGGGTGTGACAATGGGCGTCTCCCATTTGGCGAAATCTGTTGGCTCAATGACCCCTTGTTTTAATAATTTATCCAATTCCGCATCTAATTTAGGCCGAATAGCGAATGGGACTCTACGCGGTTTTAGCCTGATTGGGACTGCCTGGGGGTCGACTGAGAATGAGATGGGGTACCGTTATAACACCCCAGCTCATCGCTGAATACATCTGAGTAATCAGCGAATAAGGAGTCAGTGTCAGAGGTTGAGACAGCATGGACTCCTGTTAGCCCTAGGCCGAGATGGGGAAACCAATCAAGCCCCAAGAGTGTGGGGAGGTTGCCGTTAACTACCACTAGAGGTAGGTGACCTTTGAAAGCTCTAAAATTGACAAGGAACTTGCCTCTGCCGATTACAGGAATGTCCTTCCCCTGGTAGTCCTTCAGGCTAAACTGGCACTTCTGGAGCCGGCTTCTTGATAGACTGGGCTGTAGCCTCTTGAGGGTGCTCCACGAGATAATTGAGAGCGCTGACCCTGTGTCAACCTCCATGCGACAAGGTTTACCTTCTAACAAAACGGAGAGAGAGATTTTACTAATGGTATGGCAAGTGTGCTTGGCATGGTGGTGAGTGCGACAGTTCAATACTTGCCTCTGAGGTCCAGAATGTGAGAAGGAAGGGTGCCTTTGTGCCGAGTTGTGAGAGGCTTGACAGACTCTCGCGATGTGCCCCTTTTTGTGGCAGATGTTGCAGGTGGCTCCTTTGAATTTGCAGGTGGCCCTCGGATGAGATCCACCACAGGATAGGCACAGGGTGATGTGCTTGGGTGGACTGATGCTTTCTTGCTTGGCCCCTACCTGCGGTTGCCTGGCGTTGGTGAGGCGGTGGATGTCGGTTTCATCACTGGGGGCTTCCTCTATAACCACCTCCTCGGAGTGGACTGGAACTGTCGTTAGCTTGGAAGTTGGACCATGGATTTCGGTGGCTGAGTGTGCTGCCAGTTCTGCTGCCAGGGCCTCCTCGACGGCTTGTGCGAGGTTGAGGTCCTTCTTAGCGAGTAGGCGCCTTTGGAGGTGGAGATCCTTGACTCCGCAGACTAGCTGATCGAGGAGCATGTCCTCCAGGTAGGTTCCAAACCCACAATGTAGTGCTGCGGTCCTGAGGGCAGCCATGTACTGGTTGATGGTCTCTTTGTCTGATTGTTTCCTCATACGGAAGGTGAATCGCCTGGCAATCTGTGAAGGTCTGGGAGAATAGTGGTTAGTAAGGATTTCTAACAGTTCAGACCATGGAACATTTTTTAACTCACGTGGAGCCACGAGTGCTGTGGCAGTGTCAAAAACGATGGCTCCACAGTAGATCAGGAAATATGATTTTTTCCGGTGCTCCCCTGCGTCAGCCAGCCCAATTGCGTCGATGTAATGGTTAAAGCGGTTCTTGTATGACTCCCACTTCTCCTCATCCGGCTTGAACGCTGGGAAGACTGGATTGGAATTCATAGTGAGGAAATCGGTTGTACAATCTGTTGGGAAAAATCTCTCTGGGGCAGCAGCAGAAGGTTTCTAGTGCCTGTGGCAGGCAAGTGATTTCAGCTCTGGAGAGGCTTTTCACAATCCTCTCTCTCTCTGGGCTAAACACGAGGTTAGGCTGCCGGCCGTTGGCAGCGTTTTGAAATTCGCGCCTGCGTGGGCGTCAGTGACTTGACTCACAGCACCGCGCTGTGCTTTTAGGGCAGAAATTCAAATGACAGCCGTTTGAATTTCGCGCCTAAAGAAACGAGCGGCTGCGGCTCGCAGCGCTTCGCTTTCCCTGTAGCTAGGCTAACAAGCAGCTACAGACGCTTCTCACTTTCGTTGCTCGCTGACCGCTTTCTCTGGCTGCGGATCAGCGTTCGCTCTCGTTGCTTGCTGACCGCTTTCTCTGGCTGCGGATCAGCGTTCGCTCTCGTTGATTGCTGACCGC